ACCCGAGTGCCCGCGTGCAGGGGTGGGTGGGTGCACAGGCACCCCTGCGCATGTGCAAAGGGGTGGGGGAGCACTCACACCGGTGCTGGTGGGCAGGCACTTCCCCACCACTTCACGCATGTGCACTTCCCCACCACTTCACACATGTGCCCGAGAGCACACGCACACCTGCAGGGGGTGCCTTCCTCGGAGGCTCAGCCGGTCCGTGGCCCCAAAAATGTTGGGGACCTCTGCCCTAAAGGCCGGTCCATGGTCCCAAAAAGGTCGGGGATCTCTGCCCTAAAGGGACTCTGTTTGGATGAGCAGGGGCAGAAAGACCAAAAGAAGAAGGAGCTGCCAGAGGGCATCATTCTGGCGGGAAAGGAGAAAAGAACAAAAGGAGGGGAGAAGGAGGGAAAGAGCAGTTGGAGATAAAAGGGAGAGAAGCTTGTTGGGTGGAGGAAGAGGAAAAAGGTAAAGGTAAAGGTTCCCCTTGACAATTTTTGTCCAGTCGTGTTCGACTCTAGGGGGTGGTGCTCATCCCCGTTTCCAAGCCATAGAGCCAGCGTTTGTCCAAAGACAATCTTCCATGGTCACATAGCCAGTGCGACTTAGACACAGAACGCTGTTACCTTCCCACCGAAGTGGTCCCTATTTATCTACTTGCATTTGCATGCTTTCGAACCGCTAGGTTGGAGGGAGCTGGGACAAGCGACGGGAGCTGACTCCGTCGCGTGGATTCGATCTTACGACTGCTTGGTCTTCTGACCCTGCAGCACAGGCTTCCGCGGTTTAGCCCCCAGCGCCACCACGTCCCTAGCGGAGGAAGAGGAAGCCACACACGAAAAGGACTGGGCTGATATAATGCATGAGGACCCCTAGACAGGGGAGTGGAACAAGGTTTAAAGTTCCTAGGGAATATGCAGAGAAGGGGTGGAGGAGAAAGACATATAGAAAGCCACCTTACTGGGGTGAGACCAAAGAAAGCAAACAGGAAAAAGTTCCAAAAGTGGCAGCAATGAGAAGGTCAGAGACAGTAGAACAAGCCATGTCTGGAGCGCCCTGGGGAACCCCGTGGAACGAATCCCTTCAGACCAAGGCTAAGACCAAACCTGGGCAAGGAAGTGTGGGAGCCACAGATGGACTGGGTTTCCACCCTCCACAATAATGCCAGGTATCGATATAACCGAAGAATCGGGCGTTTCACATAGGTGGCGATACAGAGATTTAAGTTCTATCCCCCTGCAACTGGAGAGGGATTTGTTATACTTTGAAGAAAAGGGCAAAGGAGAAGAGAATTACACAAGATCACACCTGGGCAAAGTTGGACCCTTTCAAAAATTCACTTCCCTATCATCACCATTGCATCTTATTGCATAGGTGGTTGTACAATATCCTGTCACAGATACTTTATATGCTGCAGTTTCTCAGAACACATGGAACAGTCCATCCATAATGGTCTACCCATTCATTCCAACAGAAAAGGAAGATCTATATGTGTATTATTTTATATGGGAAAACTCCTTCTCACCAATGAAAAAAAGAGGGCAATTCAGGTGGACAAGAAAAGATAGACATTCTGGAAAGGGCTGAACTGAGTTTTCAGAAACCTAAGTGAAGCAAGCCAAACCCACATATATACAGTACACTTTAAATTCTGTATTTACAATTATCCAGCTGTTTACTTGATAAATACTTATGGTTCCACCTTAAAAAGTAGGAAAGGAAAAAAAGAAGTCTTGACCCATTTAAGGCTGCAATTCGATACTCATTTAGATGGAAATAAGCCCCTCTTAACAGGGATTTGCTTCTCAATGGGCATGTACAGGATTGCATATAGGGTTGCGCTGTTATACACTCTTACCCATGTATAAGTCCCATTTATCTGATTTTATTGACTGTACTTCACCCTAGCAACTGTTGATATAGGGCAACTTGTAAATATTTGATAAATAAACCCAACAGAACTTCCTTCTGAATAAGCATTTGTAGTATTATACATACTTACCTTTTTATATATTATGTTATATTTTACCCTGTTGCCCTAAAAATAAGACCTAACCTGAAAATAAATCCTAGTATGATTTTTCTGGATGCTCATAATATAAGCCCTACTGCAAAAATAAGCCCCAGTTAAGTGAAACCCTGCCCTCCACCCTTGTGCAGCATTGTGCAGCAACCAGAAGAAGATGACATGAGTGTATTCGAATAAATGTAGATTGTTGTACATGAAAAAAAATAAAACATCCCCTAAAAATAAGCCTTAATGCGTTTTTGGAGCAAAAATTAATATAAGACACCGTCTTATTTTTGGGGAAACATGGTACTGGATCTATGTTATCTCACACACATAGGCATGCTTCAGTCTCGAGAGACTATGGTAACATGCTCTGAATCGAGGAGTGTCCTCTCCAGAGCATGAAGCCCGGGTAAAGTAATATGGAGAATAAGCTGTTACCCAGGCAGCAGATCCCCCCTCTCCACATGGAAAGGCAAAAGCCAATACGACTGGTTCCAGCAATGTCGCAGGAGTTGGCAGAACGACACGAGCTGCCTTCGGGACTCCAGCTCCGGATTTTGCCTCTAGGTTAACTCCTGAAGTCTTTTCCATGAGTGGATAGAGCCACAAGGCAGTGGAGGTTTTTTGGAGCAAAAATTAATATAAGACACCGTCTTATTTTTGGGGAAACATGATACTGGATCTATGTTATCTATGAATTTTATATTGCATAGTATCAGAGAGAAGAGGTATCCGAATGAAGGAATGGGGGGAAATTGTTCTCTCTTAATATTCACATGAACTTAACTAATTTGCATTACCCAACCCAACCAGGAACCTAAAATGTGCCCTGCACTTTTCCTGGAATGTTGCAACATAGTTCTCCAATCATGACATATGTACACAATGGTTGGGAAAAACGTGCACTAATACGTGCACAATGCAGGAAATCACAGACCAAAATGTCTGAATATATGAGGGAACAGTTTGCAAAAAATTAAAAGTACACCAGGCAAAATGCAGAAATTCACAAGAAAAGCAGCCCGCCTTGACACATATACTAAAATACATATTAAGGTACATGATAGAGGCTACACATTTTCTTATAGACTTTCTGGGCTGAAAAGGAAAGAAAAACTAGGAACTGATCAGAAGTTTATGTGGTTTTCTTTTTCCTAAAGAAGTTTTGTCCTTTTGCAAATGTTGAAGCTGCTTGGAGTTGCTGATACTTCCACTGAAATGTGAATGTTGCCATTTCAGCTGCTTAGCAATCTGCTTTCAGAGAACTGAACTTGCTATTTCCAGGCAGAATGATCAGAATGAAGTAAACAGAGCAATGGACAGGTAGCTCCTTCTCTTACCCATGCATATTCATGTTTACAGATAATGTTCCCATTCAGACTATGGGGTGGGTTATAATTTATATAGATATAACTAGCTCAGAGAGCTTTATTTAGTGCCCAGCTTCATTTGGCTCTTTGATGACAGCTATACCAGTTATTGGCTAGATAGCTGAGTGAGGTGGGTATTTGGCTATGGAGCCAGAGGTTGGGGGGGGTCATTTCCCCACTGTGTATCCCAGAATAGCAAGCCTGTGTGGCCATGGGAAAGCTTGCACAGCCCCAGAATGCCCCAAGAAGAAGGGAATGATAGATAGGCACAAACCGCCAGTTCAGTGCTTCATGATGGATTGCCCTTTGGCTTCCCAGCCCCAGATGAGCAGGGAAGTCAGGGTGGGCACCCACCTGAGGAATTGAGGCTAGGAACCGCCAAACACCTGTTCGTCCAAAACAGGGGTCCCCAACTCCCAGTCCGCGACCCAGCAGTGCTCACCGGCCTAGGCAGGACCGGGCCGCGGACAGAGATCTCCTTCCGCCCTGTGAGCACCCCCCAGTAGTGTCGCCGTGCGCATGCACATGAGTGCGGTCAGCCCCTGCAGGCACACTGTGTGCATGCGCATAAGCGGGGCACCCACAAGTGCCGTCACACGCATGCGCACAAGCACACCACACACCCACAAGCATGCCACGCCCCCTGCTCATGTGCCATGTCCCCCCCAACCGGTCCATGGTTGGGAAAAGGTTGGGGACCACTGGCCCAAAGGATGATCCTGCACAAACTGAAGTCTGCCTATGCATGCTACTTCAACCAAATAGAAATGTAGTCCTATTCTTACTTGGTAGTCCTGTAAATCAGCTGCTCACATGATAGTATCATATTTAGACAAGGAAAAAAATTGAATCAATAAGAGCTGAGCAGGCCAGCTCACTGGAGTCCACAAATCTCAGGGCTGGAGAAAACACCAAAAGTAAAAAGTGTGTTGCTTATATACCGCCCCGTTTATAGTTTAATTATGCAGGCTACCCATTGCTGCCTCCCCCTGCAAGCTGGATACCTAGTTTACCAGCCTTGGAAAGGTGAAAGAACTGAGTGAAGCTGAAGCCAGCTCCTTGGGAGCAGAAAGTGGGCTGTTCATAAGCAGAATGTTGGCTGCAGTACTGCAGTTTAACCACTGCACCAAGAAGCTCCACGGGCATGCACACACTATGTTCTGTCAGAGAAATCTAGCGCTTCAAACCCAAATGCCACCTGCCACCTTGTAAACTCCAGTTTAGAATATTATTTTTTAATAAAATGTTAGTTGATACAGTACTTTTGAAAAAAAAAGAGATATGATTACTGTTATTTGGTATTGTTGTTTTTGTTGCTGTTAATGTTCATAATTGCATTTCTGAAGAATAAGAAAACAACTTCTAACAGTGTTTTGAAAGTAACAAGTCAACACTTGAATGCTGTCATGTTCTCAAGGCTAGACAAAGACACCCTGCACTTTTTGTAGTGCTGTCTTTACAACCAGGGAAGCTTCAACGGTTCCACCAGCGGATATTTTTCCCGGGGCGTCTGGATTTGACCCTGTTCCTACACCTTATTTAGCTATTTGTAATAGATCTGAATATGCACACTCTGCTCCTTTTTTTCAAATTATTTATTATATGAATTTGCAACAGGAAAGGGACTATACCAGATTTGGGTGTGTGGGTAGCGTTCTGGAGGTACATGCCACTCTTGTATAAATGCAAAACTCTTTCAAGGCAAGCAGCTGTTTCATCTATTCCCCACTGAAGTTCTCCTGCAAGGAACAAAGGGAAAGTATGTCTTAGAGACAAAAAAAAAATCTGACTTTTAGGAAAAATTGGCAATATCTACGGGAGGTTCTAATGAAATAGCCAAGCCTCCTCCCACCCTAAATTATACTGCTGAAATAAAAATTCATTTGCAGCTACAGTGGAGAACCCTATAGATTTTTTCTGGATTACTATCCACCCTGATCAATGGCTGTGCTGGATGGTATTCATGAATTCCAAAATATCTAATAGCCTCTAATGCCCCATTTCCAGCTTTGAGTAACCAGGACTGGCACCAAGAATAAGTAGGAATGGGTTGTTGTATAGAAGGAATATGAGCTATGTTCAGTTCTGACACACTAAACAAACTACTGGGCTGAGATGTCATCCATTTTAAGTGTGTTTCTTTTACAGCAGGCTCTGGTTCGTGGAACTTAAAGTTCTAGTAAAATATGAGGAAGGAAATGTTCCAGAGCTGGGAGCAGTTTCTCTCTGAAGAATGACTAAAGCATTTGGGGGAGGAGGCTTCTGGGGGCATGATTGATGTTTTATAAAATAACATATTATTGGAAAACAGTTGTTGGAAGGAAGTAGTTCTTCCCTCGCTCAGTATGAAAAATTGGAAGTCGACATGCAAGAAAGAAAGACAGTAGATTCGAGAATGGATCCATTCCTTAATTCAAAATACAATTACATTTATGGAATTAGCTGCCACAAAACAAGGTAAGGGCCATTGATTAAATGAAATCATGGAGGCGAGGTCTATCAACATCTGACTGCCATAATGACCATATGAAATATCAGAAGACATAAGGGACGGAGGAAGCTGTCTTGTCTTGGTCCATTTAGCCCACTGGTTCTTAACCTCACAAAACAAGGTAAGGGCCATTGATTAAATGAAATCATGGAGGCGAGGTCTATCACCACCTGACTGCCATAATGACCATATGAAATATCAGAAGACATAAGGGACGGAGGAAACTGTCTTGTCTTGGTCCATTTAGCCCAAGTGCTGTAAATATGACTGGTAGTGACTCTCTAAGGGGAACTTTTCCTAGCCATATTTGAAGATCCCCAGTATTTCTTCTTTTTCTCCCATATAAGTATGAACCAGATCTGACCCTGCTTAGCGTCTGAATTCAGGTATAGAGGTACCGTATTTTTCAGTGTATAAGACGCCCCCATGTATAAGACACCCACACCCACTTTTCCAACCCAAAATTAAGAAATCAATATTTTAAACATAAAACAGAACACATTTTTATTTGGTAATTAGGTGACATTTACATAACACTACTGTTATATTATGCATCACACTTCGCTTTGAGCATATCATTTTATTCAACCTCTGGGCTCAGAACACTCCTGACATTACCAGTCCCTGTTGCATCTGAGCACTGCCTACATGCTCCACCTCCAACAAGGTGTATTCTAATTGGTTTGTTCAGCATCAGCTGACATTAGTTACAAAAGACTCGTGATTGGAGGAAGCTAAGCCTCATGAAGGAAACCTGTTTGCAGAGGCAAGCTATGGGCAGTTTCACAATTGCGTGGTTCTCTCCTCGGCTTACTTCCGTGTATAAGACAACACTCAATTTTTTGTCTAAAGGTTTTAGACAAAAGTGTCATCTTATACACGGAAAAATACGGGGTGTTCCGAAGCAGGGGATTAGCCACAGTGGGATGCAGGATGTTGGAATAAAATGGAGTGGCCCTGAGTTATACATACAGAGCCATTTTAATTCTTCTTTAGAGACGGTCCCATTCCCCAGCTGCCAAATTTATTTTGCTACGGTTGCAAAATAAATATTTATTTCCACTGCACAAAGCCTGACGGTCTTCCTTTTGGCTAATTACACAACCAGAAGCACTATTTTCACCACAGACAGGGCATATATGTTTGCAGCTTGGCTGCAAGGCTAACAATATTTCTGGGTGGCTTCCAGGAAGGGTCTTGGCCTTGAAGAGAAACTACACATTCCCTACACGTTTTGTTTTCACAACAAAAGTGTCAGTTTTTCCCACTGCAGCAAATGCGCGGGCAGCCAGGAATGTAGCCCACAACAGGTTCACTGGGGATTTGGGGCCTTGACCAAAATAAGTTATTCCATGATTAATGAAACAGACCTTTGGGTTAATTCAGTATCAACTATGTTTGTCCTTACCTGTAGCATTAACGATTGCATCCAGCAATGGTCTCAGAGATGAAGGAGCACTGTGAGGCAGGAGATACGTGAAGAAAAACCTAAAGAGATGTGAAACTTGTTAGATTTATTAGAGTTTTCTAACCGCTAAACAACATAAATGAATAATAAAATTCCAGTAATTTACAAGTCTCTGAGCTATGCAGGAAATAGAATCATATTCTATAATTATATATATAGCTGCAGCTATATTCATACAGCTGCTTGGAGCAGCTTAGACAGAGCGAATTTGCACAAGGCCACCTTGTAACTACCTGTAAATATTTTATTAATGTAGAGATTTGCTATAAAAACCCCACGGATTTGGTGTGTTTGCAAAGCTGTCTGTCTCTGCTTGGATAAGATTTTTAGTAGTTGTGTTTTTTTTTAAAGGACTGTACATTCAAAACTTCTTTCACATTTTGAATCTGAAAAACAACCAACCAGATCTTTTTTCAGGAGAAGTCATAAACATTTCTAAGCTACCCAAGGAGAAATGAAACTTGGGTATACTGACTGTAGAAAGAGAGAGAGGAGGTAAGAAAACACCCAGATTTTGGAAGGAATGCAGCTGAAACTCTGAAACAAGAAACTCTAAATTTTACAATGTGAATGAATTATAAAGCAAAGAATCTCCATTACTTCCTTTACAGAGTGTACTGTGACATGCAAATGCAAAATCCTCTATTCAAGCTCATGAATTTCAAGTGTTTGAGCATAAATAAGAAAACCTTAAAATGTAGAAGTAGAGTATTGCATATTAAAAAAAAGTCAGCAGCCTTTTGTATGGAAACCAGGTAAGAAAAATTAATGATGGGGAACTTTAAATAAAGGTGGCATGGTTCTATAAGGGACATGTCATTCCATTGCCTCTTTGAATTTCTCTGTGCTGATCTCATACTGTTATTTTAGTCTATCAACTTTCCTTCCAGAGTTCCTTTAACAAGGTGGACAACTCAATCTCAGTATAAACAGAAGCTCAAGACATAAATATTAGGTCACGAACAGATTGGTAACATAAATAGGACACTTCAAGAGATATTGCCTGTTCTGTGTCTGTCTTGAAAAGTAATGAAAAATATTTTCCTTATGTACATAGATCACTCTGTCATATAAAAAGACAGTCATATAAAAAAGGTAGTTAATCACACCTGAGGGAATATATAAAAACTCTTGCTACATATGCATGAATTGTATAAATGAAGTCATGAAAAATGAATAATATGAGATTCTTTGTCAACATTCATGTGGTTTTCTAACACCAACAGGCATCTAGACCAGTGGTCCCCAACCTTGGACCTCCAGATGTTCTTGAACTTCAACTCCCAGAAATCCTGGCCAGCAAAGGTGGTGGTGAAGGCTTCTGGGAGTTGTAGTCCAAGAACATCTGGAGGCCCAAGGTTGGGAACCACTGATCTAGACCACAAAGTAGGAGGCCCTGTGGGCTAGACAGACCCGCAGTTCTCCACCTTTGGTCCTTCAGATCTCTTCAGCTAGTAGAAGCCCCAGCCAAAATCATCAGCAGTCAGAGATTTGGAGAGTTGGTAGTCCTACAATATCTGCAGAGTCGAGTCTGGCAACCACTGATCTCATCTGACTTGCCGTTCAATCCAGTAAATTCAGAGCATGACTGACCGGTCTTTGTCTGAATATGTCGACTGAGCAAAGCCTCCAGCTCTTCAGCTCACAGGGTCACACAATGTCAACCTCATGGATTTAGTTCTATGTACATTCTAGAACAGTCTGAGGGAAGATAATGTCCCATCCATAGGAATGAAGGTTGAAAACAATCTCTGGTAGTCTTTCAACGATTTTAATCACCCTCATGAGGTAAGATGGGGAGGTAACTAAGAACATGACCTTCTTTGTTGCAGTGACTGTGGAATGCTCTTCCAAGAAAGTCTTATCTAGATCCTGCTCTACCTGCTCTTTTGGCTATGTTTTTCTTCACTCAAGCTTTTTCTTGTCATCCTTCCAACTAGGTTCAACCTGGAACTGACTTTCTGTTGATTACGGAGTGTGCCGCTGCTGATGATACAGTTTTTGAAACTTTTTGTTAAAATGTTTTAATTATCACTTGCTCTGAAAGTCTTTGGACTTACAGAGTATGAATACTTATAAATAAAACTAGCCCATGCAGCCATTTGTCATATCAATCATCTCCTAAAATAATACTGTCTTTTTAAAAAGAAAGACAGGAATAATATTTTAAAGAGTGAGGCAGGTAGCTTGAGGACACCATTACTGACTTGCAAGATATGTGGATTTTTTTTCCTGCTGGAGTGAAAGCTTTAACTGACAAGAAAATCAGATTTCCAAACCATTGGCCTCTAACTCTGTCACATTTTCTAATCATTCTCTTTCTCCCCTTCACAGATGTTCTGACCAGTATTGGAACTGATGTTAACAGTGCTTTGTCCTTGTTGCTGCTACTGTTAGTGAAGAATGAACAATATGTGTGTATGCATATATCCCTCTTAAAAATGTGGACATAATAAAAAACTTGGACCTAATACCTTTGGAACAAAGTGAGAAGTAAAACAATATTACAAGTCTGTTCCCGCATAAGACTTGCTAGTACATGTATTTGTATCACCTCTACGAAGGCTGGTTTCACACCACAGGTGATGAACACCCTGCCCAACCACTCTGGAGATGTTGACTTCCACAGAATCTCAGAAATCATCTTGCTTAACTCCTTCTAACTGCATAATCTGCAGTGCAGCATGCAGAGAGAGCATCCTTGACAGATGACTGCCTGGTTTCCTTTTAAATATCTCCAGGGAAGAGAAACCTACAATTTCCCAAACCTGGTTGCTCCCCTGTTGGACTGCTTGAACCATTAAGACATTTCTCCCATCTAAGTATATATTTTCCATCTTTGATATAACTCTGTAGTCAAATGCGACTGTGGCAATGAATTGCCAACCACTTACGTACCTGTATGCATTGTAAAGATTCCTCTTCTCATTTATACTTTGGCATTTGCCCTCAACAGAACAAGGAAGAGTGAAGTTTCTTGCTGGGAACTCCATAAAACAGTCTCTGTTGCTACTGCAAGACGTTTCCTCTATGCTAGCATCATCTAGATCTGTCACTTTGAGTTCTCCATCCACAATCACAAACTGTCGAGGTCGGAAGTCCAAAAGTGTCACTGAGCCAAGGGGAGAGTGGGCCAGGTAATGCAGAAGCCGAACTAAGCTGTAACATATCTAAAATAGCAAAAGACAGAATGGTCACCCATGGCTTGCTTAATAGAGCAAACTTAATAGTATCTGTTTGCTGTTGCAGAGCAGGGAAAACAGCAAGGGACCCTCAGCCAGCTTCATTATTAGAGACAGATTCATTGGGCAGGAGTGCCAAATATGTGTATAAGAAGTTCTCTCCAGAACTGCCTGTGACTTTTGACATAAAAATTTGGTCCTATGAGGTCCTGTAAGCCTAAAACCTTGGATACATATGTAAATATCTTGTAGGCAGTGTCACGTACCATGTGCAATTTTGTAAGATGTATTTCAAAGCACAGCTATTGTGTCTGCCTTGATAGCTTTCAAAGACCCCAAGATGCACTTTTATTCAGAATGAAATTATATCACATTCTTTACAGAGCTGCTCCCCTGCATGGTGAAAGATATGTTTGCCATAATATGTGACTTTCTTCACCTTGGTATTTTGCATTTAGAGTACTTTCTTTTACAATGGCTCCTTGGAAAGTAAACATGGGCTTAATTCGCAAGTCTTGTTGCAGAGGCTGAGATCTCTGAGGAAATCCAGTTGTGAGAGGGATAATTCTAGGATAATTGTAGGAAATGCACATTTCCTTTAACATCTGGTTTTCACTGAGTTCAAGGAGGTTTAATGCTACAATGAACAAAGAGAAACTCCATCTGATATACCTCTTTGAGGTATTTCTTTCCACAGCTAAAAAATGATTGCACAAGCACAGAAAGTTCTAGCATGCCTTTATGCCAGACATATGTTAGTTGTGGAAGCCACTAAGCAGCACCACACACACTGAGGCAGACATTAGCACACAGGGCAGTGCTAGGACTTGTACATCCCAACAGTAACCAAAAAGCAGTTCTGATTTTGGCCAAGGCCCCTTCACACAAAAGGCATTGATGTTCCCTACGTTTCCACTCTCGATACTTTCACTCTGAGCATACTGTGTACATATATATTGGGAGCTAAGACCTTAGAATTCTCATTCTGCCAGTACTACTCTGGCCTTAAGCTCTACAAAGAGAAACTCCATCTGATATACCTCTTTGAGGTATTTCTTTCCACAGCTAAAAAATGATTGCACAAGCACAGAAAGTTCTAGCATGCCTTTATGCCAGACATATGTTAGTTGTGGAAGCCACTAAGCAGCAGCACACACACTGAGGCAGACATTAGCACACAGGGCAGTGCTAGGACTTGTACATCCCAACAGTAACCAAAAAGCAGTTCTGATTTTGGCCAAGGCCCCTTCATACAAAAGGCATTGAAGTTCCCTACGTTTCCACTCTCAATACTTTCACTCTGAGCATACTGTATTGGGAGCTAAGACCTTAGAATTCTCATTCTGCCAGTACTACTCTGGCCTTAAGCTCTGAGGACTAGATTGTTTAAGATACTGCCTTCTTCCATATAGACTGTCCCAGTCTTGGATGCTCTACTGTCAAGTGATACAGTGGGGTCTCGACTTACGAACGGTTCAACATACGAACATTTCGACTTACGAACCGCTCTCATAGGAATATATGGACTCGACTTACGAACTTAGATTCGAGTTACGAACTCTTTTTTCCCTTTTCTTTAAAGGGAAAAAAAGAAAAAATATCTCCCTCTAGTGGCAGAAGGCGGAATAGCAGCTTCCCATTAGTTTATATGGACGAAAAGAGCAGATACGGATTAAATGGTTTTCAATGCATTCCTATGGGAAATGCAGATTCGACTTAAGAACTTTTCAACCTGAGAACCGCCTTCCAATACGGATTAAGTTCGTAAGTCGAGACCCCACTGTAATCCTATGGTTGCCATCCACTGTGTTTGAAGTGATGTTTATTACCCGCTAAGAATCAAGGTGAAACAAAGAATTTTTTTCATTATACTAGCATAACTTAACTGGATTTGGGCCACTGATAAATGATGGAACACCTAATATACTGAGTTATCTCCCCATATGAAATCAGTGGATTTCAAACATGAGGCATTTCCCCTGCCCATCGAAACTTTCCTTAACTCAGATATTTTCCTGATCATTTGCTTGGCCAGTAGTTGTAGTCCAAGAACATCTGGAGGCCACCCTGACTTGCAAGATATGTGGAACTCAGGAGTTTTGGACTGCAACTCCCAGAAGCCTTCACCACCTGCTGTGCTGACTGGGGTTTCTGGGAGTTGCAGTTCAAAAGCATCTGAGTAACAAAGGTTAAGAACCACTGTCATAAACTATTTTATTATTTTATCATTATTTTGTTGTTTCATTAACTGCTCTTATCATATCTTGTTGGCTTCCGACTACAGGTATACTGTAAAATGCCTGGTGTTCTTTTGTAAACGTAAAGCAGCACTCAACATTCTAAAATAAAATAAACAAGTGCTTACACGAAATCTGTCCTCCCAAGAAGTCTGTAAAAGTTGTATCATCTCCAGTGGTGACCCCAGTTCCGTGATGGCAGTCAGCGTATCTGAAATGTCATTGCTGTCTTGGTAACAATATCCATAAAGCTGCAAAGTCAACCAATGGAATGGAGTCATGTCAACTCATAATTACAGGCATGCTCCCCAAATTAACACCACCCGATCAAGGTTCTAACCTCAGTTTTTCTTGCTTATTTAGTTGTTTAATATTCTGACTTTCTCCCAATACACTTTCCCCCCATGGTGGCTCAAAAATATAACACAGTGGCAGTTATCTTGTTCCACAGCTCTATTCATGTAGTGGAAGTGACATCACCAACAGTAGCAAATCACTGCTAATTAAAAGGTTATTTCTTTGATCTGAAACTGAGTGCTACTTCATTTCATTCTGCACAAGTCATGAGCAATTGAAGTCAAGGGAAGAACTCTTCAATTAACAGCAATCTGCCATTGCCCATGACATCACTCCTGCTATACGAGTGGAACTATGGAACATGATACTGACCAATGAAACATATAACACCTATAAAAACAGCACATTTTAAAATGCATAGTAATGAGCTGAACTCAATCATATGATGATACAGTTCTATCAATACTCTATCAACTTAGGTTAAAAGTGGAGGTAAATATATTTAAATGAGTCAACATGCTAAATTCTCTCAGCATCTAGAACACATCAGGAAGACTAAAACAGAAAAAAATAGAACTTAAACTGTTTACATGCTAGGGAAAGACTCATAAAAGGGATAAAGAATAAGCACCACAAGTTTATTGTCCAGGCTTAAGGTAGGATCTGTTTACAATCTATTCAGACTGACTGAAGGAGGGGAAGGAATATCCTTCAGAACAAAACTGAGTTTTAGAGATTTTTCTCCAGACTGAAGCAAGGGAGAAAATTGGAAATTTCCCTCCTCACATTTTCTACAATATTGATGACTTTCACTGTGTGTCGACTACTTGATAAACTTCTCATATTTAAAAGCTTGAACAGTAAATGCAAATGCCATGAGCCTCCTGTAATGAAAGATCTTCTGCTTGTAGATGTGAACCCAGTATATTTTTTTTACTATTTATTATTTATTTATAAGTGCAGACCCCTGTTATGGACAGATGGCTTACAGTTGTGCAAGGGGTCCTGAATATCTCCTTGCACAAGAGCTATAAAAGTTAATCCAGTCACATTACATTCACTCAACATTCAACTTCATCTCCAGTTTGATCCCCAGTTCAAGGTAAGGAGATCCACTAAGTATGTACAATGATCCATTTGAACACTGAACATTACATTACTTGGTGGAAAGAGAAGACATGACTGCCTATTCTCTCACCTCCTTCCTCCGCATCTATGTTGTTTTGTCACACTCCTGCCCATGACAATTATCTGGTAATGTTACTGGCAGCTTGCAGTGTCCTAGTGCAGAATTGCAGCTTTTTATTAACTCCGAAAGTACATATAGGGATAACGTTGAAGAAAAATAAAATACCTCCCCTTTTTTTACAGAAGCCCCTAGACCTGGCTTTCATACATACATACAAGGAAAAGAAGCAGAAGGAGAAAGAGCCTGAAAGCAACAATATAGACTTAGAAAATACAAAATAGGAAAACCCATCCAGATTCTTTATCTGCCTATTTCTTCCCTGCTGGTTCAGATCACTTGCAACCTTTGTTGGTGCTAAATTCTAACACACCCAAACACACCATGTGACATACTTGGAAACCAGATTAATTATTTTGGGGGGGGAGGGAAGGGATGGATAACAGCATCAAAGGAGAAAACAGGAAAAAGCAGCCACTGCTGCCTTATGTTCTCTTGCACATTTGGACACTGTCTGCAAGAGAACTGCAAAACCCAGTTTTGACTTTTCAAGTCCTTTCCTTGGGAAACTGGAGGGCTACAAAAAAAAATTTTTTTAACAAAAAATGGCATGAAATAATTGAAATAATTGTTTCTTTTCTAAAATAGGCCCCTTTGCCCATCTAAATGCTACATTAAACAACAAATGTCTAACAAGCCAGAATTTTAAGAGGTAGTGAAATCTCAAACTACAGCAGGAGCAGCAAACCATTTGGCATAAAAATGTATTTGTGGCCGTTCTTTACACCTGATTTCCTGGAGCGGAGAACTCCGACAGGTTAATTGTTACAACCTGAAGCTGAAGGTGGACTCTCCGCACCTTGGGAAAAAAAACCCAAAGGTAGAAAGATTCTGGTTTGATTTTAGAACTCTTCAAATAAAAATTAAAAAGCCCTGTCCCACATTCGTTTTCTATCCAGATAATCTCACTGACTTCAGAACAATTTTGACTTGCAAAGAGAATTCAGAATTGAGGAACATTTCAGTTGTGGTCATCTGAAAAACCTAGTGATGTCTGTACTGCTTGATAGACATATGTTCCTGTCTTTCTAGATTTCTCTGGTGGAAAACGGGGGTCGAATGAGGGCAAAACTACAAATCAGAGCGACTCTTTCAGACATCCCTTAAAATCAAAGGTTAGTCTGAACACAAAAGCTGACATTTCCAAACAAAGACTAAAAAGACCTTATTAAGCTGTCATCAATGGGTAAGGATGTGCAAACAAGAAGACCCCTCCTGGCTTAGTGTGCCTTCCAAGGCTGGATTTGTAGAAAATTGTGTGCCAAGATAAAGGCTTAGAAAAAGTGCTACTTTTTATTGCCCAGAAAGTAGGAGAGGGGGCAAAAAGAAAAACATATTCCAAAGGAAAAGAAAAGCAAGTAAGACAGTTTCTACTCAAAATGATCAGCAACAGTATAAAGTATACCACCATCAGAGCTGCAAAAAACAGCTGTATTAGGAACAACATAGGGAACGTGGTGGCGCTGTGGTGACACTTAGGTAAGCGTGTATATAGTATACCACCATCAGAGCTGCAAAAAACAGCTGTATTAGGAACAACATACACATCACACTGATGTTTAACTGACACTTAGGTTTTTGGTAAAAACTTGTCTCTCTTATATAACATTGGTCAAGGACTGTGTCTCGTATTTTCAAATAATCATCTAAGAACTGCAGAGTTGGAAGGGCCCCTATGGATTATCACCTCCAGTCCCTGTGAAGAAGGCACAGTAAGGCATTGAACTCCCACCTCTGGCTCCACAGCCAGATGCCCAAGTAACTCTCATGTATGTAATGTTCCAGCATCCCACCACCCGTAATCCAAAGTGGGAAAGGCACAGGAGATAGTCTGTATTATTAATGAACTTTGTCGATTCTCTCTTGCTGCCCCTTATGCCTGGGACTTCCCCATACAATGTACCATCCCTCCTTCTTTCCCCAAACTTCACCTCAAAACCTAATCTATACCCTGAAGCTTATAGCCTGATCCTTTAGCTGTCTTCCACAATTTTCTTCCACAATTGAAACCAAGTATTAAGAATGAATAACCACATTAATCCTTGTTTGTCCTTTAAAAACCTCTTTACCATTTTCAATTCTTTGTTACACATATACACTTCAAAAATTTAGAACAGGGGCCATGCTGGCTAAGCGATTCTTATATCCAAGAGAAGGAAGGAAGGAACTCCTTGAGGTCCAAAGACAATTGTTCCTGGCCGTTACTGCTCGCTACCAAGCCCTCTAAACCTAGAGATGGCAAATGTTTGTTTTCTGGATGACAACATCCAGAATCCCACAGCTGGCATGGCTGGGAGATATAATTCAAAAAATTTAAACATTTCCCAAGGCCATACAAGCAGCAGGGCATTCATTCATTTATTTCAAAAAGCCATACAAGCAGCAGGGCATTCATTCATTCATTCATTTCAAAAGCTTGTATACCACCCGATCAGTGCTGGGCACTATTCTGGGCAGTCTACATCAAAGAGACAATCGTGTATACCACCCGATCAGTGCTGGGCACTAATTTGGGCAGTCTACATCAAAGAGACAATGAAATATAATATAACAAACAAGACATTATTAATTCATCCAACAGAAACAAATAAAATGTAGAAGTTGGACAAAAACAATGCAGCTGTGCATAAGTTGAGTAAACCCAAACAACTGGTCGGCAGTGGAATAGGCTGGCCAACCTAATCTAGGAATCTCCTTCTTTGGAGGTTTTTAAGCAGAGGCTGGATGGCCATCTGTTGGGAGAGCTTTGATGAAGTTCCTGCATGGCAGGGGGTTGGACTCAATGGCCCCTGTGGTCTCTTCCAACTCTGTGATTCTATGAACTGCAAATTGGTGGCAAATCCTGAATACCATTTAGCCGAGAATGCCCCTAAAGGCTTCTTGAAACAGCCTAGTTCTTAACATCCTCTTAGGCAAGGAGAGAAGGGGGCAGGCACAGCTCCACCGGGAGCCCATTCCACAGGGATGCTGCCACAACCAAGAAGGCCCAGTTTCTGGTGGATGTCTTTCTGGCCTCTCCCGGAGTGGCAGCCCAGCATTGCCTGTGTGGATCAGGTGGTGCAGACTCACGTTCTTAGGGAAAGGTGCTTGAACAAGTCATGAGCTCCCAAACCGTGGGACATAACCCAACACACATGCTCCAGGTGATTTCCACTGGCCCTTCTCCTTGAAGACACAGTGAACACCCAACCAGCCAGGCCACTCCAACCCACTGAGCTATACCAGCACCTCTAAAAGATGTATATATAGAATAATGATCATATGCCATCGAGTCAATTCTTACTTATGATGACCTTTTTCAGGGTTTCCTAGGGAGAGAATATCCAGAAGTTGTTCACCTTTCCCTTTTTCTGGTGGCATCCTGGGACTGTGCAGCTTGACCGAGGCTACATAGGTGGGTTTTTCTGGGATGCATAGTGGGGAATTAAACTCCCAACCTCTGGCTCTGCAGCTAGATACCTAAATCACCACAGCCTGTATAAATGCAAGAAGCCGTGCCTGGAAATACAGGGATTTGAAGATGCCAATAAAAAAATTCTTTACTGTGTTACATCACATTTTCCAGCATGGAGCCAAGCTGCCTCAATTTAAGGGAGCTAAGTCATGCAATATGTAAGGCTGCTATTTAAAGAGCATGTGGATGCAGAAGAGAGGATTGCTCTGGCTCTAGAAGTGAGCATGTGGATAAAGCAAGGGGCCCTCAAATTC